CTGCGGCGGCACTTGGTAGGCACAGACCAGCTTCGATTCCCGCCCGGCGGCATGGAGGGGAGGGGGGGGCAGAATCAGGATTGATCGAAGCCGGCACTGCTCCTCGAGGAGGGGGAACCAAAGTCAAGCCTGGCATACAGGATACATGTACAAACGTCAGGCACACACATTGCACCGCACACACAGAGACGCACACCAACGCAGTGCGGTTGCGTGCCAAGTTGCGTTCGAGTCCGGTGGCGCTGCGCTTCTCTTGGCTAGCTAGAAGCTCCCAGGAACCGGGGAACTGCCTCAACCAACAAGAAGGCGCAATAGACGCTCATCTCCACGCCCCCCCTTCCCCCCGTGCTCATCGCGCACGAATTGGATAGCCACAAGGACCAGATCAAGGGCCTCGGGCCCACGACTAGGTTGGGCAATTGGACCGAAGCGAGACGGATGGACGAGCGCACCTCAAGAAAAGACTGGCAAAGAAGCAAGAAGCATCATGGCTGTCGCTCCAATAAAAAGGCGCCGTCGCCGCCGCCACACCATGTGGTGGGAGGAGCCAGAGGAGGGGCGTGAGGGGCCGCCGCGCGCGTGTGTGCCAACCAGGATGGGGCCATTTGTTGCTGAAGAATACAGAGCTTGGCTCCTCCTTTTGTCTCCTCGCCTTCAGGTTGGAAAGTCCTCGGTCGGTCCTTGAAAGGCATCAGGTAGAGTGTTTGTGGCTTGACGCAAGCATTTGAAGGAGCTGGAGTGCCGAGGTGGAAATTGCGCGGGTTCCGCAACTATTGGCAACCACGCGGAAAAGAACCGTCCTTACGCAAAAAAAGAGTTGTTCGCAAATCAGGCTGCCGGGGTTCGCAAACTCAGTGTGTGGGCAATGGGTCGCTGAACCACCTTGAACAACAACAGGCAGAGACACACTAGTTAGAGTCGGTCTACAGACACGCCCCTGCATTGTATTTTTTTGGAGACTTTTTTTGCTATATTTCTTCGTCCATGTTCCCCCCCCCTCCCCTTCAAGGAGCAACACTATTGAACTGTAGTGGTGGGTTACACAAGAAGCTGTCAAGAGTCAGTTCTCTTTCAGCTGTTGATAACTGCCGTCACATCATCATCATCATCAGCTGGAATGAAGGAAAAAGGAAAGAAAAAGAAAGAAAAAGAAAGAAAAAGAAAGAAAAAGAAAGAAAAAGAAAGAAAAA